CTCACTTCCACTTTTTCCCCTCTCTACATCCGCCCCCAGGCAGCTGTGCTTCACAATTTGGGTCCCATCGTTCTAGACCTGCTGTCTAACGTCGTAGGCGCTGGATACGTGTGGCCGTTTAACTAAATTAAAAGACTACATTTAACTTTTACGTTTCGAGTACTCGGGAATTACAGGTGGCTAAGCAGCTGCTGCGTTTGACCGTGCGGATATAGAATAATATCTCCATCCTCGCAGAGGTGTACGGCACGGTGCTGCTGTAGACCCGGATTCCCAGACTCGGGATGATTGACGTTTGGGGCTGGATCGTCCCCTGGGTGGGCTGTCCTGTGCGCTGCAGGATGCCAAGCAGCTTTCCTGGCCTCTACGCCCTAGATGCCCGTAGCACCTCCCTTTCCTGCACCGGCAGTGTGACCACCAGACATCTCTCCAGACGTTGCCAAGTGTCCCTGAAGTGGGGGAGGGGGGGACAGACTCATGCCCCCAGCCCCGCCCAGTGCCGTACACTGTTACTTTTAGTTTTCCTTTACATTTTCCCCGGATCTCCCCATTGTCAACACTGAGATCGCAGCTTCCTCCTGGACTCTGGCTTCAGGAAAGGTTGGTGCGTCACGCAGGCAAGTCACCAAATGTTTACTGAGTGCCTGCCAACTGGGCTGACACCCAGAGCAGCGAGGGCCAGCTCCTTGTTACACCCCAGAACTGCGGTTGCCTCGGCCCCTCCCCCTGTCATATTTGCTTTTCCCCGGCATTTCAGCCAGATCGTGTGAAGCCACTGCCCGCTCGGTCAGCAGGCTGTCCTCCTCCATCAGAACCTTGGCTTTAGGGTCAGGGCACAAGAAAATCCACTCTGCTTTTCCTTTGTTTACATGGTCTGAGCTAGAAGCAGTGTAAACGAAATTATTCCAGTCTTACATCGTAACCTAGTCGGATAGCTGTTGCTATCAACAGGTGAGAAAATTGTTTCATGTTTTCTTTTTTAATCGAGGAAAATAATCTGAGAAATATTATCTGCTGTTAACTGAATGCCCGTTATGTGCTCAGCACTGTCCTGTCGATGCCCTTCATGTATAAAATCCTTAACACTCACGGTAATTCAGCAAGGCAGGTCCTATTGTCATTTCACAGAGAGGAAAAGGGGGATGGGCTCAGAAGATGAGTAGCTCAAAGGCACGTGGCCGGTGTGGAGCAGGGCTGGGATTTGCACCCAGGTCCGTCTGGCTCGAAGGCCGGCCTGCCCCACTCTAGTCACGTGGTCCTGCTGTTTTGAAACGGTGGCTCTTGCTTTTAACTTCTTTTTCAGCCTCTCCATTATTTCTCACTCTTAGGGATTCTGCCATGTAGCCCATCTCTCCAGCCTGTCCAGAATGTGGGATAGGAGTTACTTTGTCCTGGCAAGTGACATCTCAGTTTGGTATTAAGAAGCAACAGTAGCAGTCCGTGACACCAGAGTGACGGCTGCCACAGCATAGCTCAGGGCATCCACTCTCAGACCTTGAAGGGCTGAGGTCCACCTGCTAGGCAGCTGGGGTGTGGCGGCAGGTGCTAGGGGAAGGGAGATGCACGGGTTATAAATCCAGATGTGAGGGAGCCTGGCTGCCATCTCTTCTGTTTGGACAGATCGGTGAGGAACTTGGTCACTTGTAAATTTGCCACCAAACCCAAGGCTTCTTTTTGGAGGACAGTAGTTCCCCAAATAAGAGCAGGCCATGGTTCTAGGTGCTGCAGGGAGAAAACTAAGTAACTCCTGGACAGGAACTAAGTCACATGGAGACCTGCAGCGAGACGCTCACTTCCTTTTTCAGTTTTCCTTCAGTACTGCGAACCCTGTCAGGGCTCACTCTTTAACAGCAGACATTTGCTAATGTCTTCCTAATAACGGGAAGCAGCCGGCCGTTTCAGGCTCAGAGCCACCGTATCCAGCGGGAGTTTAGCAGCATTGTTTTTTATTGCTTTGATTTTGATGTTTACCTTCTATGTATGGCAAGTGATGCTGGTTTTCCATTTATGATAGCGATATCACGAACTTATCTTTTACAATAAGTTTGTGTAAATGGAATTCTCAACCCGGCTACTACTGGCATTCGGGACCAGATCATTCTCTGTCTTGGGGGACCGTCCTATGCCTTGCAGCATCCCTGGCCTTGCTAACTCCCTCCGCCAGTTGCGAATCACGGATTTAAAGACTGCAGATTTAGGCAAAACCATGAAATTAGAAAGTAGAGATAGATGGATATTGTAGAAATCCTGCGTGTCTATGAAAACGGCTGAAGTTTGGGAAACCGCTTAGGCCAGTTTCCTTCGGTTGTGGGGTCCGCTCACTGATGTCTACGTGTTTGTCCTTTGGTCCTGACATCGGTTCAGAGTCAGGCGGAAGGTGACTTAGCTAATGCAGCATCGTCCAACCTCCTGTCATGTTGGAACGTTCGGTATCCAGACAGTCCCATCCATCGCCACTGGCCTCGTCGGGCTGTGGAGCACTAAAAGGTGGCTGGAGGAATGAGGGACCAAGCTCTTCTAATCAATTTAAAAATAAAAAGCCACATGGACCAGCTACCATGTTGGACAGTGCAGCTCTAAAGTCCGAGTGGAGAGGTGAGGAGGATAGAATGCAGGCTTTACGGTATAGGTTACACTCGCCAGAAACTGAGAATCGAAGACACGCAAAACCAATAGGACTGACTGTGTCTTTAAGGAAGATCCAGCCATGTGACGAATGGGACTGGTCAGATGGGAGGTGGGGGTAGTGGTTGACAGGTACCCAACTAAAATGGGTTTGAGCAAAGTAAAATAAAACGAATTTATCGACTCCTAAGACTGGAAGCCCAGGGAATGGACAGACTGTCATGGAGATTTTCTGCGTGTGTTTGCGTGCGTATCCTTTTGAGTTCATGTAGAGAATAGTGTGCTGGACATCTTTCAGCCCTTGCTTTCAGAGTATAGCTTGCAAATAGGGCCATTTAGTACAGACAGTTCTATCTCATCCTTTAAAGATTGTTGGGGATTCCATGTTATGGGCGTTCCTTGTCTATTTAAGCAGCCCCCCCCACCCCCTCAATGAGCGGTCATGTTTGTTTCCAGGCTTTTCCACCACAGTGCACGCCACAGTGAATGTCCTGCCGTGCTGGGCACGTGCGCACACCTACAAATTAAGTAATGAACAGCCTAACCTGGTAGCTTGCTGTGTGGAACCTTCTCCTAAAACAAAACAGACAGAACTCATAAACCATCACTGTGGTTCTTCTAAATTCATTCTTCAGCTCTCATCAGAAAAAGACAACTATTACAGGATTATTATAGGATGGGAGAGAATTGCCGGACCACAGAGGACTCAGTCATGACCACCAGGAAGGCTTCTGCAGACAGAAGGGGGTACTTCCTGTCAAGTGAACTCTCTCCCCCTCTTCCTGCATTCACGTAATAATGTCCACCAAAGGCCAGCCTTGGTGATTTGCACCCAAGAGCAGGAGTGGGGCCGGACTTCTCGAGGCTTCCGTGTGTGTCTCTGGCCTCTGGACAACTTAGGTGCCAACACAAGTGTGTTACTGGAAGCGAAACCATCCTTAACGGAGCCACACTCCACCCCGGGCACCAGCTCACTGGGATGAGGATGCTATTTTTAAGAAACAGCATCGGGTTTCATCATGGAAATTTTGAGTGTCTGAGAAGGCAGCTTGCTGGTTTGTCCAGGGACTGTGTTCGCTCAGCCTCACACCCCAGCACCCCAGCGGGGTCTGCGTGGCCCGTAGCGGGGAGGGAAGAAGGGAGAACCGTGGTTATGGGAGTCGGAATGGCCTTGTCTGGTTGGTTTCACTTCAGCCGGCACCATCTCCAGGGGCTGGCGGGGCTGGGCACCTCCCTCCGGCCTGTGTGTGCTGGACAGCGAGTTATTTTCATCGCAGTGCTCACGAGGGCTTGTAACGCTCCAAACGCCTTGTCTCTGAGCTCTCCTAAAGGACAAGCTCCCTTTTTTGGGGGGCTGGGGGGATGTGGAGGGGGTCTCAGAGTGGGTTCATTTGGCCAGAGCTGGCCACATTTCCCTTGCCTCTTGAGTGTGACCTGAAAGTGGGCGTGCCTGATGAGCCACCCTGTGGGGCACAGTCACGTTGGGGGCGGCCCTTGGGGCCAGTCCGCCTACAGCTGGCACACTGGCCCGTCTCCAGGTTACGCTGCGCTCTGAGTCATTATTCTCTTTCTGGCTTGTCCCTCCAGTGCGTTGCTGAGAAACAGAGCCAGGATGGAGAGCAGAGTCTTCCTCTTCTCCTTGACATACTAATCTTGATGTAACCAGCAACCTTGACCCTGGGGGGTGGTGAGAACACACTGGATTTAGAACAAGCTAGACGTGGTTGGTTCTCACGTCTTGGCAAACCTGGGTTCTTTATTCAGCTGTCCTGAGCTTTGTTCTCGCATGCGTAAAATGGATAAGTTATAACAGTACTGCTTGCTATAGAATGACTTTTTGTTTCTTTTAACCTAAATTTTACTGTTTTAAAGGTGAATCCTACGTTTTGAAATAAGTAATTTGGGCTTGGGGACAAAGCATCTTTGATTTCAACCACAGCTTCTTAGAAGCCTCAGCTCCGTTTTCCCATATCGCTAAAGGATGAAGCCCCAGGTGTGGCTGTGGTCTTGACCCAGTGAAGATGCTATAGAGCAGCGGTCCCCAACCTTGTTGGCACCAGGGACCGGCGCTCCTATGAGAATCTAATGCCTGATGATCTGAGGTCGAGCCGAGGCGGTGATGCTGGCCCTGGGGAGCGGTCGCAAATGCAGATGACGCTTTGCTTACTCGCTACTTACCTCCTGCTGTGCGGCCGGTTCCTAATGGGCCACAAACCAGTACCAGTCCATGGCCAGGGGAGCGGGAGTTGGGAACCCCTGCTTTAGAGAAAAATGGCCTGAGAAAAGGGACAGGTGTGGGCGTGGCCTTGATGGTGTGGGCGTGGCTTTGATGGTGTGGGCGTGGCCTTGATGGTGTGGGCGTGTCTTTCCCACAGGTGCTGCGACTGGCTGAGATGCTGTGGTGGAGGGGAGCCCAGGCCCCGCACAGTCTGGTTGGGACACCCCGAGAAGAGAGACCAGAGGTACCCTCGAAATGTCATCAACAACCAGAAGTACAACTTCTTCACCTTTCTTCCTGGGGTACGTGCAGGCAGGGACCATACCCGTTTTTCCTTCCCACACCAAATGTATGCAGTGGCTCCAGTCTTAGAAGACCGAGGTCCCCCTGGCAGATTTTGTGAACACCCCGTGTGTTTTCCGTGCCACCTGAGCCACTGGCTGTCCATGTTCCCTGGTCCTCAGCGCGTGGAGGGGGCTGTCTGCCGTCTGCCAGGCTGTGAGGTTCCACCCAATTAGAATAACATCACATTTATTTGGTGCAGAGTGAAAAGAACATTATGGGATCCTAACATAACCAAAACAGGAAAAAAGAAAAATCAACCATGCTTAAATTTTTCCTCTTATCATCACAAAATACATATTCAGGTATAAGGAAGTCGTGGGGTGGGGCGGCAGTAAGAGTGGAGAGAAAGAAGAGGGAAATTTTAATCCTGCCATCCAGAGAGAGAGTTTCTGTTAATGTTTTTGCCGGTGCTCGTTTCCGTTTCGCTTGGTATTTTAACCTGGAGTCACAGCATTTTCACATTAACGATTACAAATCCAGGGACGTGGACTCCTCAAACCTTCCCCAACACACATACATGAAATACCGACTTTTATCCAACACGACCTCTAAACACACACCGATTAACTTTAGAAGCAGCAGTAGCGGCCAGTTCCAGTGATGGAAATTAAAAAGAAAAAACATTACTGTGTTGTTTGCATCGAGAGGTAATCCAGAAACACACATACATTATACTGTAGCTTCAGGTCAATGTGAATATTTTTTTTAAGGGTGGTTTTGACTACATTCATTGCTAGCTGGCTTCACCCCCTACCCCCACCCCACAAACAAAAGTGTAGTATCTTAAGTCAAGAAAAGTTTATTTTTTGCTCCTGGAAATTCTGATGCAGACTAGGCCACTCTCTCCTACATCTGGTAGCTACGCTATCTGGAACACTTGGCCACCAACGTCTCTGTGACCAGGGAAGAGCAGGTGGCCGAACGGCTCTCAACTGCCTTAACCTCGAAGAGACGTGTCATCTCTGCTCGTTCAGTGGCCAGTGAGTCACGTGGTGTCAGTCTCCCTGCGGGGGGCGGGGGGGCATGTGGGAGCAGCTGGAACTGTTGAACCCACCTGCTACACAGGATGGGATTCTACTGGATGTAGTTTATAGAGCTGAGATCTTACTGTGGAGATGACAAGTTATCCTGCTTTTTCGATCAGTCTTACAGCATAAGCATTTTCCACTAAAACCTCTTCTTAGACAATACTCCGAGTCGTCTACCTGTACTTATAAAATAGTTTAGGAAATAAAACAGATACAGTTGACGCCCCCAGCGTGCCCTCCCCATCCCAGAGGTAACCACTGTCTTGAATCTGGTGCTTACAGTTTCCATATGTATCATTATTTATATTTTTACTCTTACAGATTGTATTCTTATTACTTTTAGAACGGCTTACACTTTATGTGAAAAGTAGCATGTAAGTTGCATTCTTCCGTAGGAAAGGTTTTTAAACATTGTTTGTCTCCCGCTAAACCCCCCTCATCAGATAAGCCTCGAATGTCTCCTTCCTCTTCTCTCCACATTTCAGGTGCTGTTCAACCAGTTCAAGTACTTTTTCAACCTCTATTTCTTACTTCTCGCCTGCTCCCAGTTTGTTCCTGACATGAGACTCGGCGCGCTCTATACCTACTGGGTTCCACTGGTGAGTAAGTCGGCGCTGTCTGTTCCGTGACCTCAGAGGTTTGGGAACAGACTTCTTTGTGTCGCCTGAGCATCTGGGATGGGACAGGGGCCTTTAAGGGAGAGGATGCTCTCAAGCCAACACATTGAGAGTCTCTAGGATTTTGAGGTCGAAGCTTTTATTTCCTGCATCCCCAGGATCAAACTATAATAAAGCTCATCTTGTGAGTCTTGCTCTTCGGTCATTCGTTATTTCGGCAAGTATTTGTCACCTGGTTTTAGACTCTGGGGATGCAGTGGCAAATGGGAAAGTCAAAGCCTCTGTCTTCGTGGATTGTGCCATTTGAATTATTTTCTGAGATCACATTTTTTTTTGCTTTGCGTAGAGTATTTTGGTGTGAAGTTTTGAAAAAGAAACAGATTCTGTGCTTTCGTGCGTTCGAAGTGACCAGAACACCCCTCCATTCCTTCCTTTGCCTCCTTTTCTTTCTTCCTTCCCTTCGGCAGATGGTTATTGAGGACCTACTGTATGCCCAGGCACTGTGCTGGGTGCTGGGGGCACAGCAATGAACCACACCAACAAATTCCTGCCCTTGTGGAGTTGATTTTCAGAGGGGATGGACAGTGAACAGGTTAATAAAATGGTTTCAAATTGTGAAAAGGGCTGTGAACGTAACAGAATGAGATCATGGGACAGATGGGGTGTCAAAGGCGCATTGAATGTGGGTTGAATGGATGAAGGTGGGGGGTGGGAGATGGCCATGAAAGGCCTTGTGACGGGGAGAGGAGATGGAGGATGGGAGTCTTCCGGCCGCAGGGAGCAGCCATGCAAAGGCTCTGTGGCGGGCACATGCGCAGAGCATTTGAAGAACAGAAAGAAGCCGGGTGTGCTTGGGGCGTGGAGAGGGCAGAACTGATGTCTCCCGTTCTCCAGACAGAGACGTTATGTAATGTAATTGCTGCTTATTTCTCATTAAGCCGGAGTCGGGGGGAACACTTGGAATCTCTGTTCACAAACACTGTTACATTTTTCATCGAGAGAAGATCGTTAAAGATTTAGACTCTCCTTAAAGAAACAGAAACAAACATCTTTATTGGTAGCAGGTGGGAGATGATAGGATTTGGTGCCTCGGCATCTGTGGAGCAGAGGGAGCCAGTTGCTAAGGGAGCCGTGGATGGGCATCCACACCGACGTGCCACGTTATCAGTCAAGTCATGACAGCAGCTCCAGCCCACAGAGGAGGTGGGGTTTTTAAAATTCCTTCCACACAAGCATCAAAGGTGCTTTGGGGATATGAGCGTAGTTCTTTCCTGCTCTGAGTCATCTGTGGATGAGATGGTCGCTGGGAGCTGGGTGGGACCTTCGTGGTGCATACGTCCCTCGGATCACAGACATTCCTGGCGGTGTGCCTGCACGTGTGTAGGAGATGTTGCAAACACAGGGCCTGGGCTGATGGAATCAAGCCTTGGGAGATGGGGAGCCCGTGTCCCATCCGAAAGCGGAGGTGCCACCCCACGCCATCACGTGCAAACATGGACCTGGAGTTGCCAGACCCAAGAGTTAGAGGCTTTATGGTTTTCCGTGAAATACCTTAATTTTATGGGAGTTTTTTAGTTCCATAACTGTTCACTGCATACTTACATAAAGTCAAACCATAAGTCACTTGTTTTTTAAAAAAAGTCTGTAACGTATATAAAATGTCATTTATCACACTTTTTAAATTGATCACCTTGTTAAAGTACAGTTATTTGAAAAGTAATACATTCACGTGATTCAAGAAACAAAATAATGTCCCTACTAAAAAATCTCCTTCCTGTCCAGTTTTGCCCCCAAAACACTGTCATTCATTTCTCGTCTGCCCTTCCAGAGTTAACGAACAGCAGTAGAATGAATAAAAATCCTTGTCTTTTCCCTGCTTCCCTACAATCCTTTTTTGGAAAAAAAAAAAATGGTATACACAGTTCTGAATAGTCTTTCTGAGTTCCAGAAAGACTATTCAGTGTCGACAACTCATTTAAAAAATGTGAAAGCACTGTGCGAATTGAACACACCGCTTCTAGGGGTCTGTCTGCAGGCTGCCAGATTGCAGTCTCTGCTCTGCTTGAAGATGTAGGGGTTCCTTGGCACCTCGGACTGGTGCCTCTGAGCTCAGGACCCGCCCGCCCTGCCAGCCAGGAGCACAGAATGCTGGAGACCCTAGCTCTCAAGTCCTGTGTTTCTGCCCTCTACTGCCTCGGAAGTGGCTTCTGTTCCTTTTCCTTTTCCTTTTTTTAATTACAAAGGGGCTCATGATGATTGGAGAAAAATTTGCAGAATAGCCGCCACCTCCCCCACTTCCAGCCACCCGTGTCCTCACCTGCCGCGATGCTCCATTTATGTGTCTGCGTAATTTCAGTCTCTTACGTGGGCCTCTGTTTTATGTACGTTCTAATATATATATAGTAGTAAGTTATATATATTGTGCCAATGCGTACGTTTGATAACTTGGGATCCCAAGGCGTCCACAAAGGCAGCTCCGTGTCTCCCCCTCTCCCTGTCTTTGGCATCTCGAGCACGGTATCTGCAGTCTAGTCTGTGCTCTCTCCTGTCGCTCTATCCACCTGCCCAGCGTGTGGTACAAACCCATCATCCAAAAGGTGCTCGGGATACAGACCTGTTAGCATCCCCCCACCCCCCGCAGCCTCATGCACATTTTCATTGGCATCTATGTATGTGCTGGGGAGGGTGGTCCTTAGCCACATTTGGCTTACGTTTTTCATTCTCTTAACCGGGATTCGTGTAGCTATGACTAAGGGGAGATGGAATTATGCAGATTATATGCCTGAGAAAGTCTGGTAGGAAATGGGATCAGTTCTGTCGAATGCTTCCACAGACAGTCATTGGGGGGGCGTAGGGCCCCAAGACCGGTAGGGAAGAGGGTTCCTCGCTTGATAAGAGAGAACTCGGAGCCATGGAGAATAAGGACCTTGCTTGAGATCACGCTCGGAGAGGAAGCGTTTGGTCTCCTTTTCAAGGATGGCCTCGGAATACCAGGAAGGCTTCGGGATGTGTGCGGTGCCGTGTGTCCAAGGATATTCTCTGCAGCGTGGTGTCGGTGACTAAAACACTGGAGACAGACAAACGCCCGTCAGTAGTTACCTAAATACTGCTGTGGCTCAGCCCTGGAATGCTGCCCAGGAATGAGAAACAGCAAAGTCACTTCGCCGCGTTGACATGGGAAGATGTGAATCATGTGTTTCTTTATGTGAAGAAGGGAACTTGCAGAACAGCTTGGACGGCATGCTCCAATTTTTGCGACGCTCCCCCTCCCCCCACCAAATATTTCTGTGTACTTAACGTCTGGGAGGTTTTCCACCAAAGCCAGTGGTTATCTTTGGAGCTGGGAGTTGGCTTTTATTCTCGTGTTTTTGGTCCTGCTGTATCCAGACTTCTGTGTTAGGCCCCTCGGCGCCTTTCTGGAGTCTGAGAGTTACAGGAAACTAGACGGATCTGATGAGTGAGACCCTTCAGAACAAAGACGCCCAGCAGCGGGAGGCCTGGCTGGCACTTGGAACCGAGAATCGGTGTCGCGTGGGACTTGATGGCAGGCGCTGATCTCTTTCCTGTTACTAGCGTTTCTAAATCAGCACCAGTGACGGTGGACTCGTGTCTGCAGAAGCCCCCCTGGGAATGCAGGAGGGCCGGAGGAGGGCTGGGGACCAGCCCGACCAAGAGGGCTCCCACCCTTCTAAAGAGGGCCCGACCTCAGTTCCAGCCCTGGTCTTTTCACTGAAATGTCACTGGATTTTCCAGGAGAAGGCAGAAGGCCTGACTTGCAGTGTAAGCAGTGGAGTCAACCCGTTTTCCCCGGGGCTGTGGCCCTGGATAGAAACCAGGCAGCAGCCTCAGGCCATCTTGAGGTCCCTAAGTGCATCTCGCCCTCCCCCTTTCCCCCACCACCGGAGTAGTTCAGGAGCCTGAGGGGGCGCATTTGTCTCGCAGTAGCTCTGCCTCTCTTTCTAGAATACAGAGAAGGGAGTTTGGGGTCAAAGATGAATTAGACATCCTCTGTCTCTAGGCAACTGTAGCTGATTTACCCTAAATCCCTAGGTTATCACGCACAGAATCAATTTCCAGTTCCTGGCTAGAAAGTTTGAAGTGTCCTGAGGTCTCTTTTGAGAGGACCCTAAAAGGCCTCTCATTTCAAACCCAGATTTGAGGGAAGCGGCTCAAAGTGAGGGCCTCACCGCCAAATGGTTGAGGTGCCGATCTTGGCTGCGTTTTGATGCGAAATTGTGTGATTTGAACAAGCTTTTCTGAGCCTCAGTTTCTTTACCTGTAAAATCGGGGCGATCGTGTCTATTTTCTTGGCTCGTTGGGAGGATTAAATGAAGTGCTGCACGGAAAATACTTCCTCTAGCTCCTGACATACAGAAAATTCTCGGGAAAGGGTCTCATTTTAATTTTTAAATTCTGGCACTGGTGACATTGTTGTTCCTTGGATTTAGTTTTAACTTGTAATGACTTTTTTTCTTGGTACTAATAATAGATTAGAGTAATTCTACAAAAGAGAGCTGAAATAATCCATAAAATTGTGTGAAGACCAAGTAATCTAGATTATTTTTGTTATTGAGATATATATATATATTACCTATATACCATAAACTGCACAGATAGGAAGTTTTCACTCCAGCAAGTATTGACATTTGTCAGCATCGTCTCAACACCACGTCAGTCAAGACAAAGAACGTTTTCATCACCCCTGGCCCCATTTCTGTCAACCCTCCCCCAACCAGCGGCAACCGTTTTTTTTTTTTATTTCTATCTCTCAGAGATAGTTTTGGTTTCGTAAATCTATTTTTGACGCACAGCTTTACCTGAGAGGCGCGTTAGCACCTTCAGGATTGTGCGTCTGTGCAGTCACCACCTGTGCTTTCTTTACAAGCTCTGACAACCCCAGGTCCCCCTGTTAAAGCTTTTTCTAAATATCTGTGGATATTAGGGCCCTCTGAAATTGGACTGTTGGAATTTACTCCTGGACTCCATTTGCATCTCTTTGTAAATCAGTTTCTAGCCTAAGGGGTGGCGTGTGTGTCATGTCCTATAGGATTAATGAGAACTGTGTGTTGCGGGTTGGGGAGGGGGGTGTGAGGTGGGGGTGGTAGACAGGATAACTTAGGGAAATTTATTTTTTTTTTTTTTTCAGCAGGGAAGCTAGCTGCTCCTGTCTTTGTGTGAGCTCTCGCTTTCCGTTAACATCAGTGGGACTCAGCTAGGCCCATGCAGAGAGAAATAGAAACTGGGAACATTTGAAAACAAACAAACAAACAACAAAAAGCTGGATTCCGGCCCAGAACAACGAAGCAGAGGCGCCGAGTGGGGCTGGGGGGTCCAGTCAACCTGGTCCGTGCTCCGTGAGAACAGGTTTTCTCTCTCCTCCATATGGGGTCTGGTGATACTTTTGTTCTGAAATGGACCCGTTTTTGCTTTGGCTGCAAGTGTGTACTTTACATCTGATTGGAAGCAGGAGGCTGGAGGAGTCTTGATTGTAAAAATGTCTGGGGCTTTGGAGGAGTTTCACAAAGCAGCATCTCTCTGGCTAGATTTACATGAGAGATTCAAAGTCCTTTGAGTCAGAAGTTAATATATTTCTTGGGGTCAACGGTACGAAGATGAAATCATCAAAGGGTCACTATTGTTAATCTTTTGGAGGAGGTGGCGCTGTTTTTTAAGAAATGACTTTAAAAGGAGGGGATGACAAGGGCATTTTGTAAGAAACATAAACGAATGTTCTTGCCTTTATGGTTACAAGAGGAAAAATCTAGATGGAAATAGGTTCTTCCCGTGGGTGACACACACACCAGCCTCCACTCGATTTTGCGAGTCGGGGTACCTGACCTGAGAAGATCAGGCAGTTTAAAATTTTCTCTTTATTGGTGGGTACTCATACGATGACTCCTTCAATATGTTTTTGTTATAAAAATGGTAAACATTATAGATAAGACCGAGGTTCCCTTCAGTCCGTGCCCACCCCATCTTCGTGCCTGCCTCGCCAAGGGATCTAACCGGTGGTTAGGGAACGGGAAGGTCTCTAACAGTGTATGGAATAGTTGCTGTTTATGAAAGGCGTTACATTGTGTGTTCTAAAAAGTCGATCTCCCGGCTGAGCCCTGTCTCTCTTTTTTTTTTTTTAACTGCCTCCTGGTGGTCCCTCTGTTGTCTCCACCTACCCAAGTTTCTCTCGAAGCAAAACAATGTGGCTGTTAGGACCAAAGGCCCGAGCCAGATTTCCTGTGTTTGAAATTACTGCTTATCACGTGGGAGTTTTATCCCGCGACCGCTCTGTGCCTCAGTTTCCCCATCTATGGCCCGGCGATCTCAGTAATTGTAACCTCGCACGGTGAATCTCCTAGGGTGGTCGTGAGGGTGAAATGCACTAATGCAAAGCGCTTTGGCTAGCACCCCGCACATGGCGAGTGAGATACAAATGTCAGTGGCCGCCGTCGCTCGGCCATTGCGTGTGGGTGGACAGTTTGGGTGTTTCTACGTTTCTCACCCTCAAACCCTGTAGAGGTGGTGAGCAGGGGCGTCCTCATACCTGTGTGCGGGTGAGCGTTTCTCCACGGTGTGTGCGTAATAGAGACTTGGAGAAGTGGGCTTGCTGGGGCTTGTGCATTTGGGACCGTTAGCAGGGCCGGCCCTGCTGCCCTCTGGCCTTTTCCGTCCCCCGCACCAGGAGAGGAAGGTGGGTTTCAGCGGGGCTCACCCCCTCTCCCTTCTCTTTCGCAGGGCTTCGTGCTGGCCGTCACCATCATCCGAGAGGCGGTGGAGGAGATCCGATGCTACCTGCGGGACAAGGAAGTCAATTCCCAGGTCTACAGCCGGCTCACAGCGAGAGGTCAGCCTCCTGGCTCCACTGGGGCCGCCTCCTGCTGCCCAGGCGTGCGGGCTGCAGGGGAGCAGAGCTCAAGGCCTGGGATCGGCGGGCGTGCGGGTACCGTGTGGCGGGACAGTCGCTCACTTGCCACCGCCCAGGGAGGCCAGCGTGAGCCCCGGGGCCTGGGGATACGTGGGCTGCATCCCTGGGTTGCCATGTCCTCTTAGGCGTGGTCCTATCGGCTGACTTGTGCATCATCTACCTGGAATTAAATTCTGTGCGCTTGGCATCCTCTGCTTGCTAATTCCTTACATTTATCGGGTCTGGCTGTGGAGGGGAGTACGCCCCCACTCCCTTCATGTGAGAGATGCACGCTCTGGCCCACACCCGGTTCCAAGCACGATAAGATAGTCTTTCAACATCACAAAACTAATGTTACAACTTTGCAACATTAGTTTCTGTTTATCTATTTCTATACTTTTAAATTGAATTATAGTTGACATATAGTGTTAGCAACAGTTTTTTAAAAGGCACCAGATTTACATAAATATTGCATTTGTGAAAATTTCTTTGCAGGCGTCTTATACATCCTCGAAATTGAAGAGTGGAAAGTGTAGTTTAGTCTGACCCAAAGAGAAATGACCAGATAACCTTTAATCCGCATTTTCAATGGCGGAATTTAAAAACCACCCCCACATACATTGTAGAGAATCCACAAGACAACCCAGCCGAGGCTGACTTCTGTTTCCAACTACCAACTCTACAACAGATTTCCTGTAAGTTTGTATTCAGAAAAGAGGCCTGCTACCTACAGCTCCCTATGACTCCCGATCCCATTCAGGGCTTAATAATGTCAGGCGTTGAAAAAGTTGAGAATTCTGAAAGAGATTAGGTGCCTCGGAGAGCTGGTCCCAGAGCGCGTGTGAACTGCTTTTGTTAAACGCTTTATTCTTCCAGTGAAGCCGGCCATCCATGGTTTCAGGGTTTTGAGTAGCATTTTCCTTTTGGGAAAAATGTTGGAAGAATATGGTTCGGCCTCCGAATTTTTTTTTGTTTGTTTGTTTGAAATTTGAACAAAATTCCTTGAGGACATGAAAGTATTTCGTCTTAGTGAATTGAATAGATGGTCATAGTGGGTGGTCTTAAAAATTGGCCATTCTCTGGGAGAAGCGGGGGACTTAGGGCTGGTAGAGAAATGCTTTCTATTGCCAAACCTACTGTATTTAGAACAGTTTGTGACCTAAAGAATACAAACCCAGTATAATCTTTGCAAAGGCAGGTGGCTTGTAATTAGAAGACCACTCTGGAGAGCGTTTTTTGTGGTTCGTGTATTTGAAATCCTCTGTTAATAACATATTCTGACTGTAACGTGTAAAATTCTTGGCAACTGACAA